AATGTTTTTCCTTTCTCTATTTACTGTTTGCTGAAGTCTTTTACCATTCTAGGTGAAACTCGAACAGTTTAAACCTCAATAAATGGCCAAAATGAATGACCAAGTACCTCAGGAGAGACTGGGCACTAGTAGGTTAAATCACGTTTTTCTCAAAATTCACCTGTATGACCCCATCTCAAAATTTCAGGAATAAGAAATTGGCTCTGATTTAACATTCATGCAACGTAAAATAAACATCTGCAAAAGAGATCTTTCAGAAACTAAGAAAATGTGAAATCAAAAATAGCTTAAAATCTGTCTTACAGATTTTTTTTAAAAATTTGGCTCTAAATGCGATTCACCCCTAAAATCAACCATGAAAATTTCATCATGGGTTGTACGGTAGGTTTTCAAGCAATCCTTCATGAAAGATTTACTTTTACAACCTTGGATGAGAATTGAACTGCACATGCCCTTTATTTATGGGCATGCTCATGTGACACCATGTATGGCGTACAAGAAAGCAAGAGTAAATTAAAGCTCTTTTACCGGTTGTTTATGGACCTTTTCTGTCATATTTTATTGGCCCTAGGCTTAAACACATGTTTGAAAGCAGTTTGAAACTATCGCTATGTACCGAAGTGATTTCATGCCTTTAAGGTCCTGAAGTTGTTTTTGTTTTTTCTTAGGGTTACTTGCATCATTTTTGCATGCGCGACTAAAACTGACGTCTGGCAGGCAATTGTAGCGTGTGCTACTGAGTCTCCAAAAAACTGTAGTAAGCCACCTTAAAACGATTCACGCTACCCATGCGTTGATTGGCAGGACACTACTACTGCCTAATTTTAGCACCTCAATCCACTGCAACACGAGCCAGTTAATGATACAGGAAATCAATAACCATCAAAAAGTGTGACATAACTGATGAGTTACCACCTGGGATTTTTGGAAAAGCCCTTAGTAAATGATTTGTATCATAAATCTTCATTTATTCCCTCTCAGAAATCAAATGAGTGGATAATGAAGAAGATTTAGTGTTTACACGCCCAAAGAAATAGCTATCATTGATCTGAAGGATACTAGTATATGTTTCATTCATAATAAAAGCTCTACTCAGAGCAAATCAAGGTACAAATAAAATTGTCTTTCCAGGTTGCCCTCCAGGCAAGATAGAACCATTTTATGCTAGCTTAGAGGTCTTTTATCAGCTAGCGAAAAAGTCCAAAATATGATACTTGTCCATCACACATGATTGTGACTTTATCATCCAATCCAATGGCCCTATAGAAAAATGTACCACTCCCAGTACATGTTAATTTAGTCAGTTCTTCCTTTGCAAGCTGATGTACGTGTCTGGATGCTGAATTATTGAATCTTCAAGCAACTTTAATTTAATTTATGAAACTAGATGTACAAAGGCAAAAAAGGCAGACAGAGTTGGCAATCATTTCACTTACGTCCATCCACTGTGCATCAGTGATTTCTCTTGGCTCTACATTAATATCCTGGGTTAAAGGTTTTAGATGACAAATGAAGTAGATGTCTGAACAGCCAAACCGGAAGTTTAACATGTGACGAAAACAAATAAGAGAAACAAATTTGGTTTGAATGCCGGTTTCCTCTAAGACCTCCCTCCTAACAGCATCGACAATGTCTTCCCCTGTAAAAAAAAACAATGAACATTCTTAACATCATTACAGTCAACTGTCATACAACAGTCACAGGGCATCACAATTTATATACCTAACCACGTTTAGGGTAGTTTAGGTAAGCCATGGTTTATATTTTGGTTCATACATGTAATTATTAATCAAATCTGACAAAGAGTAAAAATTCTCTCAATCAAAACACTGGATTATCCTGTTACATCAAATTATAAGGAAAAAGCATAATTATTGGGTGATTCCAGAAAATATCCATACCATACAACAGGCAGCATCTTGGAATTCTGAGGGAGAGGGAGGTTTCTTGGACTGGAATTCTGAAGGCACGGGGAAGAGGGGGTGTAATGCAGTTTTGAATTCCAAATGCATGGGTGAGGTTTCAGCTCTTAATTTCCAGAGGGGGAAGATGACGAAAGCTTTGCTTGAAATTGTTGATCTGTCATCCTTTTCTAGTTTGAAAATCAAGTACGAATCGACCACGGATGCAGGATAAAGACCAACCAGATAGGTGTTGGCGTTCATGCAGATGAGTGAGAGGATGGGTTCTGCAGCGAGCTTCACATCAAAGAGGCCTGAATTAGTTGATAGATTAATAAAATATAAAACAAGTCTGTGTTTCTTTCTGATCTAAAATTGTTGATTGATGGGGTGCTTTCCATTATGCCAAACCGACCAGTCAGAGATCAGAGGGAATACCCAAGGAAAATGGAACCCCATTTTCCGATTAAACTGGGCCAACTAAGGGGAATGGCTCTCACCATCTTTTATTCCTTTTCCAAATTCCCTACGTAAGTGAAGAGAAGTAGGACAAAAAACCTGTTTGTCAAAAATGGAACGGTGAATTTCAGTCGGAATATTCAGACTGAAATAAGTGGAGCACCTCCAAAGGTGATCCCAAATATTCCGGTCAAAAGAATGAAAATGGATCTTTCTATTTGACTTCCAACCAAAATTTCTGGAATCTTTGGCATAATGTAGTGTGCGAAAAACTCACACCAGTCTCATGTTTCCAAATGGAACGCCTGACAGATCTGTAGGCTGTATGACTAGTGGTCAGCACTTACTCAATGAACATAATTTTCAATATGGTTGGTAACGGCACATCATGAACTTTACCTTTGTCTTCCACTGGTATCAATATGATCTACTCTTCACAGAGCATAGGGGGTAGAGCATTTTGGAATTTCCAAACATAAGGGGGGTTAAAATGTTCATGCCGCCCATGGTAGGGTATGGATATTTTTTGGAATCACCCATTGTGGCATACTACAGAAGCACAGTGTTTACTCCTTTCATAGGATAACAACAGGGTACAGTTTGTAGTGTCTGATCATAGTTGAATCTGAATTTGGAAATAACAATTCAAACAACCACAAAAAATTCTATCAAACAGACAAATCATTGAGCTGAAAAACAATGTACTAAATTTTCACCTCTGTCTACCATCCCTCCAGGAAGTTTCCAATGCTTCTTTTTACTGAACCGTTCACAAACAGCTAACAGCTGGTTTTTGTCATTGATAACTAGCCCACCAGCTCCTGAAAAACAATTGCAGCAAATGAAGGTAAAATGCAGTGTTATTTGGGGCCCGGCAATTAATGAGGGCAAATATAGTACATACCAAGGTAGCTTGTGGCAAAACTTGGAAGGGTGTTTGGTTCATCTTCAGGAAGCCATTGAGTCAACACAATATAAGTTGGATATGTATGATGAAAAACAAAACCATGCTGAAATGGAACATAACAAACATTCTGTACAGCATGTAAAAAAAAACCAATCACTCTTATTAAATCATACATTATGTACCTAATAATAAATTAAAATAATAATAATTAAAACTAATCAAAATTATACACAATGTCATACTATACTCCATAATTTATGTTTGATTCCATTGAGACACCAACTGGAAGGATTCAATAATTTAATAACTGACATTAAACAATGGTGAAAACAGTGGTAGAATATTCTTTAGGGTTATTCATTTCCTTTTACTCCAAAATGAGTATCTTCATTAAAAGAGGAGAAAATTACAATACCATCTATATTGATTGTTTGCTTATTTCACACAAAAAACAATAGCAATATGACAAAGTTCACAATAAACAAGAGAGTGAATTAAAGTACTGCAGCTATACTTGTTTATTGCTTTCACATCTTCTTTTGAAAAGGATAGGTAAAAGACATTTTTTTAACCGTTTGACAGCTATTTCACTACCCCTTAACTTAGAGCTGCTTTGTACCTTAATGGCAATAGGAATAAATGAGGAATTATCAATTGATATCCTCAGCCAAACACCTCTAATAGCACTTTGTTTGAATGTTGCCAACGATGCTGAAAAAAAAA